ATTTAAAAAATTTAACAGTACTAACAAATGCAAAATGTCCTAAGCGTTTTTTCTTTTTAAAAACACTTTCATGTAAAATAATTATTCCGATATAAATACATATAAATAATAAATAAATATTACGTCTTATATAAATTATATAAAAATATTAAATAAAACACATATTAATAAAAAAAAATATATATAAAATATATATTATATAAAAAATTATTTCACATTACTTATAGGTAAGTGACAAATATTTTTTGTAAATCTAGACTATGGAAAACAAAGGTATAGATATATTTCGAAAAAATATAGCTGTCAAGTTTCAGAATATATGTATATTTCGTTACTGTGATTTTTTTAATATATATTTTTTTTAGAGAAAAAGAGAGAGAGAAAAAAAGAGCGCGCGTAGTTTAATTGTAAGATACACAAATACTAAACATGATCTTCGATCAGTCAGATGGATACACACATCCGGTGAATTTGTACATTTCCGTCTCACCGGAATCTTGCGGTTGTCCGTTCGAATAAGACATAAAGGAAGAGGAACAGGAAGAGGAGGAGGCTCAAGAGTCGACCGGAGTAGAATGACGAAAGAAAAAAAAAAAGAAAATAAAAATGAAAGACGAACGTTGTCCCACGGTAGCTCGTCGTCGGCTAGACCAAACAAACAATCTTTATCTTCTTTATGGTTGCCCGCTTATCTCCGTCCGGCGACTAACTCTCAGCAGGTTCTGTGCCTCTTTCTCGCCTTCCTACGCAAAGAAATCCTTTGTGTTCCGGCATACGTTCTCACGATGGAAGAAAAGAGAGAAAGAGAAAGCGAGACGAAATGCAGAAAATTTGAATAAATCTCGCGCGGCGTCGTGAATATCATTTCGCTAGACTTTGCGGAGTGTTCCGCATCTTTAAGCGGGTACTGAAAACGGTTCTCTAAGGCCCGTTTCTATCAATATATAGTTTGATTTTAATCTCGGTTTAACTAACTCTTCATCTTTTTCCAGTTCCGAGAATTAGAAAAAGATAAAGAGTAAGTTGAACTGAGATTAAAATTAATCTACATTGGTAGAAACGGGCCTAAGTACCGTTCCAGTAAAGTTTTGAGAAAGCCATGCCGGTGCACCCCGCGCAACGAAACCCGGGCAAGTTTCGTTATAACCACCGTTCAGAAACCTTTGGTGTTTTTTATGTGTGTGAGAGAGAGAGAGAGAGAGAGAGAGAGAAATCTTACATTATTCAGCCGATACCGAAGCAAAATGGTTGATATGAAAAACGGATGGCTTCTTTTGTAAATAACTGCGCAAATTTGTAAAAATAAATCAGAGAATTGAGATAAATGTATCCAATGGAATATTTTGCAAAATTTTTTTATATCCTCTTTTTCCTCAGAATAATTCATCCCAATCAGTGTGTTACAATTCTTCTTACTTCTCTTTGTTTACACGTCATCAGATATGTACTATTTTATATAGAAAATTATTGTGGCTTTTGGTTTGGATACGTTGAGAATGTGAAATTTATATAAATCGACATATGTCGAGAAATCGTCGCGACATTTCCTGACAAATTAAGATCGAGCGCTGGCGAAGTACAAATAACGATGAATTGTTCAATTCACTAATATTACTTTCTCGCTAGACAAGAGAGAAATCAATTTGTGAAAATTCTAACGGATACTTTCAGATATAAAAGAATATCAATATTCTTTCTGTGTTCAACAAAGAATTTTTACAATAAATTGACTGAATAAAAATTGTCAAGGCACACATTTTGAATCGTGAATTATTCGCAAAAAAGAATAAGTAATATTTGTGAAACAAATTATGCAATAAAGATTTCTAGTAATAAAGACTCTTTAAAATTGAAGTTATTTCGATAATTTTGAATGTTAGAAAATTCATATATTTTTATTGTTTATTGTCAAATGTGTGGTTTCTCAATTCTATTCTGTATGATACAGGGTATCCGATAATAGATAATCAATTCACATCTCGTGAGCAGGTAGAAATTGAATAAAAAAAGTGCTAGTTTGCAAACTTTCAAATAATTAATGAAATATTAATTAATAAAAGTCTACGAGTAAGTATGTACCCGTGAAAAAACTCAATACGATGCGCGTTTATGGTTTTATGCTAAGAACGCGATAAGATGTTTGGAGATGTGTGCTGAATGGCGTTAACTAGGAGAGGATTCATAACTATACTTGTACCATTCGTAAAGCACATCTCCAACCATCTTATCGCGCTCTTAACAAGTAGGTACCGTGTGTTAGGATATCTCCGCGCGAACACACGATTATTCGCAGATCTTTATTAATTAATATATCATTAATTATTTCAAAGTTCGCAAAATGTAAAGGACTTTGCTATTCAGTTTAACCCTTTCTAGCTGCTCACGAGAGATGATCCGATTATTACTGTACACGAACTTAGTCTTAAATAAATTACTAAAATCAAAATTAAAACTTTCTTGTCAAAAACCATTGGAATATTTAAAATGAAAAAATGTGAATTTTTTGGTCTAAAACGACAGTGCGAATTAAAAATAATAATACACAGAAAATGCAGGAATATAATCCAAAATATTCTATTCTTTTATGTGTCGTGTAAAATTAATTTTATTCCGTGCTCGTTCAAACTAAAGTATTAAATACATACATTAACGGATAATATTTTATATGTATGTATATGTATTATATACTTGGCTTTGTTAAATTAATTTCACTATATTAATAGAGAATATAGATAATTAATCATACCTTTTATCATCCGGTGAAAGTAATTTAACAAAATCAAATAATAAGCATGTCCACCTAATTCAATATTGAGTCCATTTCGCCCTCTTTCGAGGAATGACTTCGCAATATGGCTATATAGGGAGAAACGTTCCTCGTGATCGCTTATTGAGACGAGCATGAATCGTGAAATTCGTCCGAAGTCGCGTGTATCCGTGCGGAATCAATTCGCCAGGGTTTCCGTCGGAAGAATGCACGGAGCGATTTAGGTTTCCTTTTATACGTGGATTTTTTAACCAATTTGGACTAACTTTCTTTCAACAAAAATTGATCGTGATACAATCTCTCCGTTATAAAGACTTTAAAGATTTTCAAGAATAAAGTTTCAAGCAAAGTTTCATGCATATTTCAGCAGCATTATCCAATCAAATTTTCAAAAAGCAAGGCTCAACTTCAAATTCGGAGAATTCATACGCGAGAGCGTTCCGAAATACGTATAGGATTGTCAGGAAAAGCGGTCAGCAAAACCGAGAGCTCATCGGCGTTTTGTATAAGTTTCGGTTAACCGCTGACGAACGATCGGCAGCGATCGATCGTGAGGAGATAGCCTCGGTGGTTGCGGACAGAAACGACGTGATGAACGCAAAAGAGGCGCGTTTTCGTTGCGTTTCTGTCTGTGAGGCGTTGAAAAAGTCGTGGAATGTGATAGCTGTGTAGTCGGCTGCGCGCAATAAAATCGTTTTGCAGCAAGGCGATCAAATACTCTTGGTACGCTAATAAATTATGGAATCCGCCGCACTGGTCGACGATGCGTGCGAAAGGTTTCACCGGTTTCGCAGTCGCATTAGAATTTTAATTGCGGCAATTGAGATCTCGGAAAACCATAAAGACGAATAAAAATTCGGTCGCTTTCCCAGAAAATAATAAACTTCGACTGCGCGCGCGAACTGATCAAATTGGTTCGTGACGCTCCTGACGAATGCTTAACTCGCATTGCTATATTTTCGCCAAATAATCGCGGTTAAATATACGGACTTTATCCACTTTATCACTGCGAATCACAATATACATTTTAATTGCAACATAATGCTGATATTTCGCGATTATGTAAATAAAACAATATCCTGATGCGTGTTTCCGCATTAATGCAAATAATGGTTTAAATGCAATATTACACGTGCAATTTAACAGATCGCGCACGGTGGGTAAATATAACATTTTCAGAGACAGATTCCGGTAAAATTAACAGTTGTCCGTGTCTAAAATTCATTATACGTAACAATAAGTATTCCATACATTTCTCGGTAAAAAAATGAAAAGCATCGACACAGCCTATCGTAAGTGGACGCTGCGAAGAAAGATTGTTCTCGCATGCACAAATGACGCGAGTCCCGTGTGAAAGGAGCATATGGCGTTTTGTATACGAGACTCGCGTCCTTCTGCGTCTTGCCTTCGCTTTAAGCTTTTCGATGCCACCTGTTACGTAAATGCGAACGAGTGAGAAAGAGGGCTGAGCTTCCTGCGAGACGCGGCCGATTGATTCGTGCCGTAATAATCAAGGAGGACGAATCGCGTCCTTCTTGCAACGGGAGGTGGTCTTCCCATCTGATGGCCATTCAGCCGCTCGACAACCACGAATGCACTGCCATGCGCCACGCCGTGTGGTTATAATAATTCCAGCTAGCGATGGCACTGATACCCTCGCGGTGCCGAGCTATCGAGTACCGTACACACGAGGTACCTTCCGCAAGTTATTGTTAGCCGGCAGTAGCCATACTGCGAGATATCAATTCATTTAAACGAGCTATCAATCCACCGCAAACATTGGAGAGAATGAACCAAGTAACGAGAGATTTCAACGAGGCAGTGAATAACAACACGTTTATAGTTGAAAACGCCTCTTGACACAAGATAAATCAATTCGCTGCGTTTTGTTAAATCCAAGTTTCGCGATTAAAATTGATAAATCGTATTCGTACTCTACGTAAGTTCCTTGATAAATTAAAAAGATTTAATAATGTTTTCTTTTTAAGAAAATCTAATTGCGATAGAATTACTATTGAATAATATATTATGTATATCCCAAATCATGATAAATCTTAAAAAAACATTTATCATAAATCTCGAAATGTTTCGCGTTCGAAGCTAAATTTTTACAACGCTGAAAAATATTCTGTTTTTCTTCAGATAACGAGCAAGACGTCAAGTGACATCGTTGAGATTGCGTATATGTCGGAGAAGAAACAGCGGTTAAATTAAGCTGTTCAAAATGACTCACCGTTGATATGCATTTGTGGCTCGGCGAGATGAATTCCAGGCCCCGTTGTCCCTCGCCGCTGAAACATCTCTGTATATTGCTCATGAACTTGCGGCGAATCGCCTTAAGCGAGTACACGCACAAAGCTGAGTGCGGTCGCGGCACGTCACTGTTGGGCCCGTCGCTCTCGGCGAACACAGCGAAGAGCACGTCGTCCTGAGCGGTGATGCCCAGGTCGCCGGCGAGTACCGAACCGGCCTTGCCGACGTAGGCGGCTTGCACCAGATTGTAAATACGCTCGTCACTTGTGCAATTAATCGGTATCTCCGTATACGAATAATAATGCTCGTCGTCCTGGCACACGCGGACCAATTTTGACAGATAGATCGGCGTCTCCGTATTTTTCATTTGCGTAGTAAGGAAATAACTAAACCCACCGCTGCTGAAGCCGTAAATGTAGTTAATAGGATAACGTTCGCGCGACAAAGAGTTCACGTACATTCGCGTACCGGTTGTCACTGCAGCTTCTGCGATGTTCAACATCTTGTCCTTGTCGAGGGAACGCGAGCTCACCGCCGGCACTTCCGAGCGATAGGGTGAATTGCCCGTGAAGGTCACTCCGACGTACATGACCTGAGAGACCGGTGGATTTGGCGGACCAGGTGCGATAAACGCGACCGTCGACGCGGTGGCGTTATTTGCCACCACCGCTTCCTTCACTTCCTGCACCACGTCCGATATGTTGTGCAGATTGCGCACCGTGCACATGCCTTGGAATAAGCTGCCGCAGGAGATGAGCCGCGTAGTGGTGTAATCGATCACCAGGGCCTTGTTTACGTTGTCGACTGGCCGCTTTTGCGCCTCACGGGGGCAGTCTAGCATCGAGCACGCTGTGGAATCGCCCTTAGGTCCGGTGACCTCCTTTACGACCAGCAGCAAGTCCGGTGACAGCTGATAGAGACGATTAACTGCGCCTACGTACACCCGGCCTGTGTTCTTGTCCACTACCAGGTGGTTCATGCGTTCCACTTCTGGATCGTGGAATTTCTGTACTATATCGGCCGGTAACGAGCGCGTTATCGGCAACGATAGCGATAGCATGAGAATCAGCATCAGCGGCAGTGACAGACGACACCAGCATCGTCGACGCGGCCGCGATACCACCAATCGCGCCACCCTCATCGTCCCCGTCGTTGTTGTCGGGAAGACTGACAACATGCCTACTCTACTTCCACACTATGGACTCCGTCGCGCCACCCTTCCTCCCACCACCTCCTCCTCCTCCTCCACCACCTCCTCCTCCTCCTCTTCCGCGCTGTCCGGCGATTGTGGCGGAGGTGGCTTCTTCCTTGAGCCTCTCCCAGGCCTACAACAAAATAAATAAAATATTTGATTATTAACATAACAGATATATGATAAAACGTACTTGAGACGGTAAACAATAAAGAAATATATCATAAGGGGCAATAAACTTTTCAAATTTTTTAAGTTGTATGCATTGCAAAAAACTTCTACACCTGTTATATATATTTCTTATTTATATATGTAGAAGAAAAAATCATTTAAAAAGAATATGTTTCGTATATAGTGCCAAATTCTTTCTCTGTTGATTACGATAAAAATTATATTTAAGATCTATTTATAATTTACAAATACATAAAAATAGTTACATACAATAATTTTGTCTCTCCTGGCATTCAACTTTTCTAATTAATATTGTCTCTGGAAAATAATTATAAATTTCTTTCGCTTTTAATTCATCTTTCTATAGACATTTGTCTGCTATTGTAACTACTATTCGTAGTACCAAGAAACGAGACATTATACGCAAGAGACAGTATTCACCATGCATAATTGTAACGATTATCTTCTCAGACTCAAGGTGAGAGCACCTCTTGCACGCAACGTAATCTACTTTCGATCGAAGGGAAAGGTGCAATTAGTGCAACGACACGGAACAATTATTGCCGAGAACGCACGATAACAATCAAGCATAATAATGCGCAGCGTTGCAAACTGCACTTCCAGAAATTGTATTAAAAATATCTTCAAAAATATTAGGCATAGCCTATTATTATTTGAGACTCAATCAAATAAAAAACAGACAAAAGTTTAATGCTTTTTTATTTCTAATTTGCTTATAATTATGTCAACTTAATGAATGTCTTATTTTATTATCATCTATTTCTTAAAACAGCCATTTTAAAAGTCTGTTGGCACTTCCACAATTTTTGAAAATTCACTTAGGAATGCCAACTTTACAGATCTGTGTTCAAACTGCTGTCCATTAATATTAATATAATGATGTAATTTACTAATTATTATTAACCACATTATTCAGTTTATGAACATCTTTGATAATAATTTAGAAACAATTCAAAATACTGTTTCATTATTAATTAATATTAGAGACACAATCTATCACAGTTTTCATTGAATTTGTAATTTAAATAGGATTATGGTGACGTGGGGAGAGAGGAGAGAGAGTATCTGATAGTTTTCAAAAATTTTGGGGATGGAGTAAGAAAATCAGAAAGTGCATTTTAATTAAACAAGAAAGTTTAATTAAAATGTCAAGCATCAAAGTCAAAAAGATATAATTCATCAAGATATCTAATGATATTAATATCTAATGCATAATAATTGCGGGATAATTTTTCTGAATAAAATATAATAGATACAACCATCTTTCTCTTGCCGGTGATCAATTAGCAATAAATAGCACTGAAGAGATACGTTTTGTTTTTTTACTTTCTGACCTTTTTCTATGTGCTTCTATTGTAAGCTTAAGTTGACACAGTCCCTATTTTTATCAAAACAGCTAAGACTGAAGAATAAAAATCGCGAATAAAGTAACAAATTAGCAACAAAAAAAATCACTAAATCTATATCTGCATTATATCTCGATTATGCTGCAGTAGTTGTCATCAGCTTAATAGACGTTCTTAAATGTTTACCATAAAAGAGAAATAATACCGTATAAAACTAATAATTATAAATGAACCGATTTGGCGAACGTACAAATTAGCGTACCAACATCAAAGGCAAAGACATTTAAATGACGTTTCGTTAATAGAAAGTAAGCATCTCTACGTGATTAGGAATCCTCCTTAGCGATCCTCGGCAGTTCACGTTCTTACAGGATCCGAAGAAGGAAAAATACTTAGTAGGACGAAAATAACGAGATCGTGGCGGCAGTGAAACGAGAGGAATGTACGATTTATCGAGCAAGAGAAAACCAGGTGCTTTTGAAACGTGCCCCCGACGCATCTCGTCGGCCCCCTCTTAAGAAAATGACTTCGTGCAGCCGGCGAGCATCGGAAAAAGCGAAGGATGGTGAACGGGCGAGCGAAGAAAAAAAAAAGAGAGGCGGCGATCATCTCTCTTTCGTCTCTTATCGCAATGCCGAGGGTAACGGTCGATCGGGAACAAAAGTTTTCTTATTTCCTGAAGACCCATTTCCCCCACTTGTTAACGGATTACTCCCCACCAATTTCACTCGATGTCAATCTCGGTTTATAACGTTCTGCTCCTAGAAAGATTAGAAACATCTGCGTGCGAAAATCTCAAACACTTTGCGAGATTTTAAATAATGCTTCAGTATAACAAAAAATATTAACGATCCATTTTCCTTAATACATATTTTTTATATGTATAATTGATACATTCACATAATTTTAATATCAATTACAAATTTTATATGTAAAAGAAAGTAATATAGAAGTAGGTAAAGCAATTTTATACAGAATAACAAAAAAGGAATAAAGTGAACAACGCCAAGTGTCCTATTAATTTTCTATGAAACTGTGAAAGTACAAAATATCGTTTTTATTCGTTAGATAATTGAAAGATATTGGAGAAATGATCGAGTTATCAATTATTTCTATTAGAATCTTGAAACTCTTTTCTCAGAATATCAATACTATAAAAAAGAGACTGTGTAAAATTTATTTACTTATAATTTAAATAGATTATTATTTATTAAAAAGCACTATATATACGACCAGCTGTCGTTTTTTTAGAAGAAAAAAGTTATTTCAAAAAGCAAGAGAAATGTTTTACTTGTTTCTTCACGAACTGTAATTTTGCACAACTTCATGAGGTAAAGAATAACTTGACTACCGAAAGAATAATATTAGTTTCCTACTTCGCGTATTCGGAAAAGCTTGAAAGAAACGATGAATGCTTTCGATTTGTTTATTCAACACGGCGTAGTTGCAGTCCCGTAGGCTATAGCAACTTCGATCCAACAGTGCGCGTCATTAAATGACGAATCGGGGAGTCCAATATCGCATAAAAGCACTTGTTCCACGAAAAGAAAAAGATAAAGTTCGCGCGATTGTATGAGCCATTTGCAGTGAGTAAGCAGTACAAGTAACGACTGCATATACAAAGAAAATAGACCAGGTGACACGTGCACCGATAAGTATTGAATTGACTGCGAGCACGCGATTTCTCAGGAAAGAAACGATGCGAGAATGTGCTCTGAGGAAAAAAGCTGCTTAAGAAGTGTCATAAAAAAATCCTTCGATTAATACTTAAAACAATTTACAGTAGTATTAGAAAATAATAAATATATGCAATATATATATATATATTTATATATACCTATCTGTATGTATATGTGTATATATATATATGAATGTGTATATATATATATAAATTAGGAAAAGAGGAAAGAAAGATCTGAAATAAATTATGGGAAGAGGAGTTAGATAAAACAAACGAAAAAATACTAAAAAATTATGGAAAGATAGGAACAAAGAACCCACACAGAAAAAAAAGAAAAAGGAAGGAGGGTATGAGATATGATAGAAGCAGATGCAATAAGAACAGAATAAGACAAGTATACACAGAGGCAATAAAGTAAGTTTATTAAGATTTGTATATGGCTGTGATAATATAGATAAGATATAGATAAAGCGAAAGAACGGCAGAGAAACAGATATAGAGATAGGGTGTAGTGTTTTAACTTAATTAAGTATTTAAATAGAGCGCGCGATAAAGGTATAGATGAATGGAGTGAAGTAAGATCGTAGTTGTAAACCAAGTCTCCTTCTTGACTTATGTTGAAGAGAAATTCTACTCTGTATTATGTGTGTACATATGTATATGCCTATGTATGTAATATGTATATATTATATGTATATATATGTCGATGTAACATTGCATTTCCAATGTCGATTCGCATGTTAATTATAATTATCGTAGATGATAGACTGCGATAGCCTTCCGTATCTGATGAAGAGAACGCGTGCCTTTCTTCATGAATTCCCATTGTACTGGAGAAGAGCGACACGCACTTTGACGTCAGTAATTAACGATCTTAATTGCTCTCGGTAATTTGCACCGCGATTTCGCCAGAGCGATACACGACGGAGACACCTCTCGTTTCCGACAACGAGTTACGTTAGTCGAGAAAGTCAAACATGCGTGAAACTACGGGGTAATTAGCGTGTAGAAGCTCGAAGCGTTGCCAAACTCAAGTCTGTTGAAATGTTTAAATTTATCGAAGTATCGATATTTTCACTCATTCAGTATTAAAAAGATCATGCATCAACATGATACAATATGTATTAAACAAAAAAAGAACTATAAAAACAAAGGAATAAAATCAAATATAAAAGATTATAAAGATAGCAGGAATATCAAATACACTAAAAATTAAAATATGAAATTTGATAAGAACATTTAGTACTTTAAATATATAATATTTTTTATACAAAAATTTTTAAAAATTAAAAATCATATATAAATAAGTTATTATCGGTCAAAACACCCTTTAAAATTGCATCTCATAAAATTCATAATAAATTGATTCTTCAACTACCAACCTTTCATGCAGAAAGATTTATTTACAATGGCCACCATGTGGAATGTACGTTGAAGATAAGATCGCCTATGCAGCTTAAGAGACAAATTGCCTTTTCAAGAAAAGGCCACGTAATGAATGTGATTGCTCGACAAACGTGCTTTAGAAAAAAGCGTAAGTATTAAAGACATGAAAAAGAATGAACGTCGAAAGGGGAAGATTATAAGATTGGAGAAAAGCCGACACATAGGGGAACGATGCAACGCTCTCCACGATCTTTTAAATCTTTCATTCCCTTAGCTCGAGGTCCTCTTGATTCCTCATTAAGCAAGCGATTGACACGGAAAACATGTCACGGAAACTTCTCGCATAATTGAAAGAAATATATGATGTAGGAGAGAGAGAGAGGGGGGAGAGAGGGAGGGAAATAGAGAGAGTTTAGGCTTTTAAAGCGTTCACGTACATATATAAATAACTGTTCTTTCCGTAATTTTAATGTAAGAAACATAATAAGGATTCTTCTACATTTAAATAGTTCTACATCGATGACAAAT